TCAATGAAATGTTTCATATATTTCAGATGCTAGTGTTTAGCCCTTAAAAGAAAACACATGCACGTAATAATGCATGTGAAGCCTTTCCTTTGAAACATCTTCCGATGACAGCCATCATTGGCTGAAGCATGTAAAGGTTTTATTTTATTATTAAAAGACACTGTTGTATTTGGTGGAGTTTAATAGTGATTTTACTTATCTCTACATCAGGTTTCGAAACGTAGCCCCCAACCCAAACAACTGGTAATGATCGATTTCTGCTTTATGTAAACAAAGGACCTTTAACGGTCACAATAAAATTCGCACTCTATGGCCAGGTATAATATTTTATTGGAATTTACTGGTGATTTCTGAGATGAAACAGCAAGTAGAAAAATTTGTATGTACACAGTGTGGTTTCACTTTATGGAACTGATTCAAAGAACTAGTAAATAATAAAACTAATCGGTTAAATTTCGGGTGTTCTTATGCACCGTCGACCTGTAATAAAGAAACTATGTTCATTGTGTTAACTGCAAAACATTGTAAATGATCTTCATTCCAGTGGATATGCTGTAGGCCCCGCATTAGGCCTGTGCTTGCGTAAAAACCTCTGGACTGCAACACCGCGACTAGCATTAGCGTATCTTTAAAGAGGAGCAAACGTTAACGTTATTGAGAGGTAGTCCGGCAAAGAAATGTTAGCAGAAACAGAGATAAGACTGCTTATTATGAGATCAAAATAAGCTTGAGTATTTAAGAAATGAGACACCAAGAGATCGGAAGGCGCACAAAAGAAGTTACCGTGACGTTAACTAAATGATAAAACTGGAGCCTATGTATACTGTGACGTATATACCCACTGCTATTTAACGACTGGCTAAACATATCTCCGCGCAAGCAAGCGTGCAACAACAGGACGTCTGTTGCTAGGCAATGGATAAATAAACACACTTCTTTAATAATAGAGGCTGTTTTCTGCAAGGTCCGTGCAAAGTTGTTATAAGGAAGTATTCGGCAGTAGTCCATTAGTGAAAAGTCAAGTTTCGGGACGCCAGCCTGTCGGGACATGGGCTTGGGATCTAAGCTGTGAGAAGACTTCATGTTTCATTGAAGTGACAAGACTGTTGTTAATCCGTTACCTGGATGCGACTAATGAAGACTGACAATCCTAGTGCGTGTGCAACGGTGAAGTTAAGTGTGCAGAATAGCGATAGCGCTGTATTGTCCATAGTTCCGACCACCGTATGAATTCATAAGGGGCAATAAATCCAATCACCCAGTCCAAAACCCGTCTTATAAGTCACCCTTACACGTGACAATATAATTGACACATTATTCTACAGAGCCGATCACAGTGGCTAATGTACGAAATGTCTTTGCCCGACGAAAGACTGAGGTTAGGAATCCCATTCGAGGCTTGGACGTTTGTTCGCTTTTCCTCTTGTGTTCGTGATTCAAGTGTAGGTAGCGGCCTTGCGACAGGGCTGATCACTTGTCCAAGGAGTCTCGCCAGCTGTGTAAAAGATCCATAGTTCCGCGACATTTCTGATGGGAAGAGAAATAGAAATGTAGTCGTAGAAGAAGAAGAATTCTAAAGAATTAAGAAGAAACAGATGAGCAAAACAGACACTTTGATAAGAACAGTTGGAATAAGGAGATTCCGGACGCCTGAAGAAGTAACCGAGAGGCCATGATATCTTAAGGGAGCAAGAACGTGCAATTAAGTTTAATCCACAATAATTATTCATGTTGACGATGATGATGATGATGAACAGTGAAGNGTTCGTGATTCAAGTGTAGGTAGCGGCCTTGCGACAGGGCTGATCATTTGTCCAAGGAGTCTCGCCAGCTGTGTAAAAGATCCATAGTTCCAGGACATTTCTGATGGGAAGAGACCAGAGGGCCTAATAGAATTGTAGCCGTAGAAGAAGAAGAATTCTAAAGAATTAAGAGGAAACAGATGAGCAAAACAGACACTTTGATAAGAACAGTTGGAATAAGGAGATTCCGGACGCCTGAAGAAGTAACCGAGAGGCCATGATATCTGAAGGGAGCAAGAACGTGCAATTAGGTTTAATTGACAATAATTATTGATGTTGATGATGATGACGATGATGATGATGATGAACAGAGAAGACGATATGTGGAGCAGGTCTACAATTGTAACTTAAACGCTAAATTTCTGTGGTTACCTAAATATTACATGTTATATGCGAAATAGCACCTATGTTAGAGTTAACGCAGTATTAAGAACAGAGCACGGAATGTTCGCCAAGCCTACATAGGAACTTCAGGCACTTCCACTGTTGCGGCAATGCTGGAAATGGCACTTAAACACTACGAGAATGACACAGTGCTAATGATTCACGTCTGCTATCTCTCCCAACTGTGTGAACATGCCAAATTACCGACCAACCTCTATAATTAAGTTAGTTTGTGACCTCAGCGTTGCCTGAAACCGAACAATGTCTTTAGGATGTAGAAAAAAATATAATAGTTTCCGAGAAACAAAATGCGAAACTTGTATGTTCGTAGCTAATATGAAAACTTTATTTAATACAGTAGTTTGAAGTCTGTATCAAACTTAAAGCGTTCGCTTGACTTGGGGGTTTCAAATAATTTTGTAACTTCGAAGACCTTTCCTTACAGCGAGTAGTTCCAATGATACTAAACCGACAGTAAGTAGTGTACTTGAGGAATTCAATTTCGGCGGGAGACTTTTGTTGTCACGTTTTTGGTCATATTCGTAAAGGCTACTGGAGCTATAATTCCACCACCGCACACCTTATAATGGCGTGGTGCTTAATTGATTAAGTTCAGGGATAAATTTACGGTTGTAGTTATCATGACACAAGTTGTCTTGTTGTTTTCTGTTTACGTTTATGTGTTCGTATTGGCGCCTCTGCTTGCTCTTGCTTAGTCAGTAATTGATTTTGAGCTGATGAGTAGACAGATAAGTAAATAAAGAACTTAAATGTATTACTACAACGCCGGCAAAGCGGTGACGCTTGATTAGGATGTTAAAGCAAGGATTTTAAGCAACCGTCGGTACCGAGAACATTTACAAATATGACCAGCCATACAGTGATTCCATAAAAAGATTTGTTACTTCTTTATATGTACCCGTATTTCTAAAAGCCTCGTCCAACCGAGTTACAGATGAACACTGAGTGTATTGCGGTGATGCAGCTGTAGTGTAAATGTAAAAAGTGTTGGGTTCCGAGGGATTACTCTAATTCCAAGCCGCGTAATATGTTACGTTGGGTTTACACTTGTATATTGTTTATGGGGCTGCATTTTAAAGGGAAGGGAACAAAGAGGTCGCCACGGGGCCCGCAGAACAGAGAATCCATAGATTATGTTGATACATTCGCATTTCAAAAATCACAGAAAGCTGCTGTGTATTTTTCTTTATTGTAATTAATAAGAGAGAAGCTGCATGTGTATTTCCTTTTTGCATTCTGTTGTGTTCAACTTCGACACAACTACTTGTTGTATCTGCGGCCCCTATAACATTGAGTTGCATGTGTGTTCAGACTTAAGTGGTGTCCATTTTAATAGGTTTATAATAATTCAAGATTCTTTAAAACTACATTATCTTTCAAGTGGTCTTCTATTCCGCGGTGAACTTTGAAATTAATAGGGTACCTAGTAGAATTCCCGACACAATATTTTATTAGGTCTCAGGACGATATTCTGAAGAGAAATAAAACATGTTATAGGACCATCATCCTAAAGTACGTACGTGTTATTAAGACACTTTTTCGTGCCATTTCATACTTAGGGCGCAGTTTCCACACGCGTAATTCCATTCAGTATATCCTTCGGAACACTCAAGCACGTAAGATCTATAAAACGTACTGTTTAATTTGACGGAAACCGAAATTTGCTTACCATACATTCTACAGCCATGTGTGTGTGTGTGTGTGTGTGTGTCTGGAAAACTTCCTCCTTACCAAAATAAAAAATGCGTGTTCCTCAACCATAAGGTAAAACGATTTTTTAAGGATATTTCTTCTCTACATATACATTATTATTTTTGTAGCACAGTGTTATGGGATGGGACGACGTTATTTCGGCTTTCCTTTTTGTTTCCATGGCATGTTTCTACACTTGGCTCACAGTTGTGCCCTGAAGGTGGAGGTACCATTTTAACCCAATACTCGGTAAATATCGACAAGCCTACGCGGCAGCTTCAGAGTAATTGCAAACTGAAATAACAGAGTAGACACTTATAAACAGCAAATAAAAATGAAACGCAGTGGGTTAATATCTGCTAATATGTGTTCCGCTTGTGTACTTAATAGAATCGCCATACGCAAGAAATAAAGGACGCTGCTTCTCTTAAACCTAAAATTAAAATTGGAGTTCGCCACTCACCTTTTGAGGATCCCTGGACGCAGCGCTGTTTCCATTTCTACGTAATATTCTCAGCCATTGCTCCCGTCCGACAGCCACTGTGCAGTTCATACCGGCACACGCGCCCCTTTGTTACCACACACGTTTACACTGCAGCTCGAGCCACTGCTCTTAAATTGTGCACTCACAATAACACTGCTTGCCTCTTAACTATTTTCTTAATTTTAGTCTGTAAAAGCATGGAATCCTAGTCTTTTCGAAAGTTATTTCACATAGATCATACTTATATTTTTACTTTTTCAATGCAGTAACAATTCTCTTCACTGTTAAAACTTCCAATAAATATTTCTTATTTACAGGTTGTATTGCACTTAAATTTTAGCATACGGTAATACTTAATTCTTGTGTATTTATCAGTGTCCTTGAAATGTAACAAAATTCCATTTATAAATGAGAGTTCAAGTAATTCAGTGAACTTTTTTAATTGTTCATTACGGAACAAAACCCGTGAATATTACGTGACAGTACTAAACGTTGCAAGGTTTTCGGTGTGTAAATATGATACAGCTTAACAATTTCACAAGGATAATACAAATTAAAATTCTCTCCTACCGTAGTCAGTTCGTGTTCCTTTTAATTCAGGTGTGCAACATGCTAGATTGTTAACTGAAGATCTGAAGCACAGTTACAAGAGAGTAACACGGTTATTACACAGCTTTCCTAATATGTACGATACCCAACAAGTGGGATGACTAACGTCAGTTAACACGGCCGCTTAACTCTTTAAAGACCGAATTTCTTCCAAACTAAATATATAAATGCAGTCCATACCTCACAGGAAACACATTGTGTCTCCGATACGAAGCCCAACTGGTTAATACTGTTATCATCTACCTTACACCGCGCTAGTTTCAATATGGAGCAGCACGTATGCCCTATTTTACCGCCTTCCGTTCATTATCTAAGAACCACCTTCACTGACACTTCACTTAACTGCAAACAATTCTTGAAACTTGGCACGTGAATGTAAACTTGATATTATTCATGTAAGATGCATCGTCTACGGCAGGTATCAACTTACTCTGTAGAACAGAAACGTCTTAGAAGTTAGCCCAAACAATATACTGTATTTGTATATAACACTGAGTAGATCCCATTCAGAAATTCGCCATTTACAACAGCCTGTGTGTTCGAAGCGGGTCTCCTCCTAACTCCACCGTCCGCCGTTAGGGGAGGATGCAGCAAGGAGCAGGGGTAAAACTAGCTGAGGGGCATGTGTGTGAATCAGAAGGAAATAGCAGAGAAAATGTTCAAACCCCTTCGCGTTTGCGCAGTACAGCTGACCTCCATGCGCATAACACAGTCTCCTAACTATTCCGACCAGAAGCCGATCGGTCCACATGTAGTCCACAGGTCGCCCCTCTTTTCAACGCATTTTTTCCTTCCCGCGTTTTCATACTTGCAAAACCATGTTCTTAGTTTCATAACTAAGACTATGACCGGTATCTGTAGGACTCTTTTCGAAATATTGCTCTACTACTGCCCCATGCTTCACAGCTAACAACCAAGACACAACTGTAGCCCTGTACGCATTTTCTTTGTTTTTGTCGCGGCACTCTTTCCCTGTTGTGATAATTAAGTTCTACTGATCGCCATTAAAACTGTGACCATAACTGTCAGTAACGTAAACAAACCGTGAAGTAGCGAAAATGAAACTCTTTTGCGATACTTTCGAAACTTGCAGTGCCTGGAAATTTCATGCTTTAAATATGACGACGTATTGTTCGTAACTCATAGACACAATCACATTCACAACGCCTGGTGCATGCATGAGAGCAGGTATCAGCTTCGAATCCCAGGAAATTGGAAGTATACAGCGGGATATTAAGTTCCTCCCTGCCCATTCATCATTGCAATTAAAACAGCATATTAAAGTAACAGTTTAAAACCACAATTATCTGATATACTGTTTTCTTCTGATTGCATTAAATTCTGGGATGGATTGTGTAAGAGACACAATTTGAACAAAAATGACCGCATATGTAAGAATCAGAAAATATCATAGACCGCAGGTTTCTCAAAAATATTTTGCATTCAGTTTCACACGTTGGCTTAAAAGAATCATTCCCTTGTCTGAACTGTGAGTTTCTTAGTTCAGGTACACGCTCACCGGATATAAAGTGGAGTATGAGGGTCATCGGATGCAGGGGAGGCCCAGAGGAACATTAGCTGGGATAGCCCGTCTTAGACATCTACGAGTACATATGTATACGCCATAGTTTGCGCGTTTCCATATATGCTGCTTCTATTTACACGATGCATACGTCAATACATACCATTCTGTGTGTTGGCTTATAAGCATTAGCACGTTAAGGTAAAGCATATTTAATGCCATGTTACTGTTTTCTCACCTGTCACTGATTAAGTCCTGTGTCTTCATGATTCACAACTAATTCTCAAACTATGATTGATTTAGGCTTTCAGTAATCTCATGCCACAACGTGCCATGAAGATGGAAGCTATGGAGCTATGCGTCATAACGTGGGAGTTCCTCCAGGGTATGTCAACCAGTGAGGGTCACACAGCAGTGGGCAGTAACAGATGTCGGGTCACCATGCAACATATGTCCGTGTGTAAGAGTGTGTGACCAGTTCGATCCCGGTGGCTAGGGCGGATAGTTTCACAACTTGGAATCTGTTTGACTGAAGATGTTTGAGAAGGGGGTGTTCGGGAGAATATTTGGTACTAAGAAGTTTGAGGCACTATCAAGGTTGGAGAAAATTGTATAATTGGGAACTCCATACGCAATATTCCCCGCCAAACACGGTCGGAATGATTATATCGAGGAGATGGGAAGAACATGTGGCACGCAGCGGGAGAAGAGCAGTGAGCACAGAAATTTAACAGGAAAGATTAAAGGAAGAATATCACTAGGAAAACCTAGATTTAGGTGGGAGCATAATACTAAAAGCTATCTTTTAAATGTACGTATAAAGAGAAGATGCCGACTAGAATAATCTTGTTCAGAATGAGGAAAAGTAGCACGTTGAGAGCCTCTTAATGGAACTTTCGGAATGGTAGAATGCTAGGAATTTCCTGAGAAACTGTTAGCTTATGAAGGACTGAGTCCATGGAGTTTGTTAGCTTGTGGGGAGGCTAATTATATACTTTATTTTTGTACTTTAACTACACATTCTTTTGTTCACTGATTTATCCATATCTCTATATTGTTTCTAGGTAATTAGAATGATATTTCATTTCTAGCTGTGCAAAAATGATCTCATTAAATTTTCCATTAAAATTGTATTCTATGATTAACATAAGCACCATTTGAGATAGAATGTGCAAAAGAAAACGACTGAAGAAGATTGGTTTAGCAGTAATGTTCTAGACTTTCATTTCGATGCTGATAGATTTGAATATCGGCCAGCACATGCTAACCTGACGGAGTTCTTTCGTGGTTTTCCTATCTCAAGGCGAACCTCCAAGAGGCCATGGGCGCTTCCTGACAACCAAACCCTTTCCAGTTCATCAGTCATCCTTTCATCCGATGCTGTATCTCTGCTCTGATATCGCCATAAAAAAACATCACGAGCTTTCCCTTTACGCGTCTCTTTTTAGGTTTTGGCTGTAAAACTGTTGAATGATACTGAATCTATCTGTAATTATCACACACGACAGAACTGCAATAAATGTGGGTACACGACAGAGATGCTGTTACAAGCAACATTCTGTCAGTAGAGAGGCAAAAGCTGCACAGCTCTTTCTAAAAGTGAAGGAGTTGCAAGGGAGCTGTGAGAATGGCTCGAATATTCTAGCCCTTCTTAGAGGCCTTCATTGCCTTGACCACTTACTCTCTTGCAATTTAATAATATCACATCTGTTGCGTCTCGTGCCGGTATGGCAGATCGCAATCTAGTTAAGTGGAAAACACACAGAAATTCTCTGAAACTTTCGTGTCATTACGAGTAACGGGGACATGACACTCTCTCTCTCTAAAGTAAATAATTGCATTGAGCAGAGACCTTCAGATGACAATATCCGAACAGCTTTCCAAGAAATTGTCCACTTTTATGGAACCCCAAAGTTCATATCCTTGTTTACAACGTTCCTTTATTTGTCCCATTTCGGAACCAGATGAATGCAATCCAAATTTTTTCACATTGTTTCATTAAGATTTTCCCAAAGCCTTCTTCTTCTCAGATTTCTCGACTACAGCTTCGTTCAGACAAGTTGGGTCTCCCATTCATGCTACATGTATCCCCGATATTGTTCTCATAAACATACATGAAGTTCGAAATTATGAAGTTCGTCGCCGTGCAGTATTATTCAGCCATCTGTCACTCCCTCCTAAGTTCCTATTTCTTTTTTCTGTTCCTAAATGCCATGTTCGGTGGGTCCCTTCTCACCACGGCATGGCGCGTCCTCAGGTTGCGGATGGAGGAGACGCACTCCAGGTATGGAGGGATGCTGCCAATATATTGAATAAGCAGTCGCGGACAGCCGAAAATAAGTGGTCCTCCAGCTTGGGGGTTGGGCACAGGGCTAACAACTCCTCACCGTAAAACATAAGCTTGTTACGGAAACGTTCAAAAAGCCTCGAACCTGGACGGATCCTCTGGAAAAAATACCTCAACTTAGTTTGTAGGTCTCCGTTTCCTTGATGGCCGGAAGTGAAATAATTGTACTCTTGACTGTTTCCTCTTTGGTAATTCTCTCATTGAGGATTGTCATACCTAAGTTTTCTGAATGCCTTGGCTTCAATTATTACCATGTGCAAGTTCCATATAACCCTCTTATCGAAGACTACACCGGGATATTTTACATCATTAATGAATGGATTATTCCTTCCATTCTATGGAAGATGAGTCTCAGGGGGGCTAAGATGTGGCATATCATTTAGATGTATGTATACTCTACAATGTGGGGGCAGGACGGAACCTTGTGCACCTTTGCTTGTATGTTCCTTGGCGTAGACATTTCATCTTTGACTTTCTTGAATAGCTTGCCCTTGTGGACAAGAGGCTAATCGGACGTAAATATTCAGGGAATTTGGGCCCTTACCGGGTTCCGGTAACATAATTTTGCGTCATTCCAAGGCTTTGGATAATGGGGTAAGAGGCCGCAGTGATTAAATAAATGACAGATGTACCAGCGATCTTCTTAGGAGATGCCAAAGGGCATAGTTCGGCATGCTATCGAGTCCACAAGCATTTTTCATTTTAAATTAATTTGATCATTTATGTATGTCAGTGTTTTATTTTCCCGACGGGGTGTCGTCTTCAGATTCGAGCAGAGCTCATGGTTTTCGTCACACAGGTCACGAGATTTGAATTTGTTTTCTAAACATCCGCAGTCACGCGGGTTTCCTCTTTCGGGTGAAATGCTGTTCCTAAAGGTGCACGAACAGTGGTTGGTACATTTAGTCCAGCCATTTTCATAAGTGACTTCAGAATAGACCACAGAGTTTAAGTGTCACCTCACAGTGCCCTACTTCTTCTCTCACCGTTCGGGTGTCTTTCTGCGGGTCATTCGTCTGATGAATTTGGAGACCCAGTTAAGTGCCTTCTTTAGATGCTGGATCCCGAGGTACTTGCCACAGTTTCCTTAACTTCCACCCAGGTCACATCATAGTCTCCAGACCAGAATAGGGCCCGAAAGTCGTTGTCGAAAGCCTATACGCAGAAGCTATAGAGACAGTAGAGTCACGGGTCGCTCTATTAGCTTCTTCCCCCAAGTTAATTTTGATTTCAGGTGAAATTACGAGTAAATCAGAAGCCAGACTTTGAGAGCACTCCCAATCTGTGAATTTGTCAATCGAATCCCAGAGGTTCCTGGTTCTTATATGATGCAGAAGGTGGGGATAGACGGGCAGGTGATCTGAGTCCAGAGTGTTAGAGACAGTGACTTCATAGTGCGGCATTCCTGTGCACAACCCTATCGAGCACGTCACCATTTCCCGCGCGAGCGCAATGAGTGGGATATTGTTGTGCTGAAATTTCAAACTCATTTATATATACAGCGACTTCAGTAGAGTCTCATACGAAGAGTTGGTAATTACGCTATTCGAAAATGAATGTTTATCATTTATATCTCTTGCCAGTATCATTTCATTGTTACCAATCTCTATACAAGCCTCTTTGGCCTTTACTGTAATGATCGTGGGCACGTTATGTTCCACATTATGTGGAATGCCTTTCTCACTGCAAC